ATCTCAGGCCCCCCCATCAGAAATGGCTCTAATGCATGCCTTGGAGGCCCTGCCTTTGATCCTCTGCCCCGCACTCACTCCCCCAATTCCATGACAAAAAATAAGCCACTGTCCATAGTGGGATGTCAATGTGTCTACCCGAATAACGTCCACAAAGCATACACTAATGTCATCTATGAACTGAGTTTCAACATCTCTCCTGTAAAGGAACTCCCAAAGTAACCACGGTTCAAACAGGCACTGTTAAACAAGCATTCCTGCAATCACTGACCCTCGGAGTATAGCCACAGGCCCTGAGATACAGACACTGAGGTACAGAGCTATGCACTGAGGTGCCGGCGAAGATGTTGTATAGGCCTCAGAGAAGTGCCTCTTGTTTTTAAATCAAGCATGCAGCTGTTTAAATCTTGAAAGTGATGGAAGAACTTGTGACGACCATTAATGATGACCTCACTGGGGTCTTGGGAGCACTGCGAGGATTCACTGAGACAACACAGAGACCTTACACGAGTTCCAAGTCTTAGAAAACGCATCATAAGTTAGTTATTATTATTTATGTTGTTGTTATCCCTGCCTTAAATAGAATAGACTGCATTGAAAGGCAGCTAAAATCAACAGAACAATTCGATCAAAACTAAAAACTGGGTATGCGAAGCGTGGTATGACTGTGAAGAGTGGAAATAAATCCCCTCCTCCAAGAAGGATTTGCATCCCTAGGACGTTCCTCACCTTACCTTATTTCCAGTCATGCCAGCGACATCATCCTATATTTGAAGACAATTACAACGCTTGGCTAACTTGCTATTGGGATTTCAGAGTTAAAGCTAATCCTTGAGTTTATTCAACAGATATCAGTGTTAACCTAGCACACATCCAAAGGTGTTTCTGATTGAAAGCATTTATAGGGGCCAGTGCCATGGTGCAGTAGGTTAATCCTTTGCCTGCGGTCCAAGCATCCCATATGGGCGCTGATTCTAGTTCTGGCTGCTCCTCTTCCAATCCAGCTCTCTAATGTGGCCTAGAAAAGCAGTAGAAGATGGCCCAAGCCCTTGTACCCTGTGGGGAGCAGCCCGGACTGGACTGAGTTACTGGAATTAAGACTTATTCTATGCACCTGCTCTCCCACAATATGGCGCTGGGAGAGAAGTAAACAGCTTCCGCACAGCTGCCTCCAGTTCAACTAATAAACTGTAGGACTTGCTCCTGATTGGAGGAGAGCAGCGTACTCGGCGTGTGGGCAGCCGAGTTGGGATTGGCGGAGGAGGACTATAAAGGAGGAGAGAGACGGCATGCACGAGGAACATCTATGGGGAACATCTAGCTGAAGGAACACCTGTGCAGCCCCCGAGAAGAGCCGGCCGGCGGTGTGCTGCTCCCCTGCGGAAGTGGGGAATGTGGCCAGGGGGAACTGCCCTTCCACGGAGGTGGAAGGGATAGTAGCCAACCCGGGAAGAACCAGCAGCAAACCCGGGGAGGGCCGAGCAGACAGAAAGAACAGCGCAGGGTCCTGTGTTGCTCCTCCACGAAGAGGGGGAGCGACAGTACCCCTGCACCCAGAAGAAGCTCCTGTCTCCTGACTTTGGATAGGCGTAGCTCCAGATGTTGCGGCAATTTGGGGAGTGAACCAGTAGATGGAAGACCTCTCTCTCTCTGTCTCTACCTCTCAAACAAATAAATAAATAATCTTTTTTTAAAAAAGAGCATTTATAAAATACACTGCATGTACCTGGCTACTTAATGCTTACACACACCCAAACAATCACTCCCACATGTACAATCTGGTGAACCAAAGAAACTACCTCTTTTTAAAAAAAAAAAATATGGAATACTTCACGAATTTGCATGTCATCTTTTTTAAAAAAAATTATTTATTTTTACTTGAAAGTAACAGTTACAGAGAGAGGAGATGCAGAGAGAGAGAGAGAGAGGTCTTCCATCCATTGGTTCACTCCCCAGATGGCTGCAATGGGTGGAGCTGTGCCGATCCAAAGCCAGGAGCTAGGAGCTTCTTCTGGGTCTCCCACATGGGTGCAGGGGCCCAAGGACTTCAGCCATTTTCTACTGTTTTCCCAGGTCACAGCAGAGAGCTGGATCGGAAGCAGAGCAGCCTGGTCTTGAACCAGCACCCATATGGGATGCTAGCATTGCAGGAGGTGGCTTTACCCACTATGCCACAGCGCCGGCCCCATGCATGTCATCCTTCTACAGACACCATGCTAATCTGTATCATTCCAAGTTTAGTATATGTGCTGCCAAAGTGAGCAGGAAAGCACCTCTTAAAGATGAGTCTTTTCCAACTCGAGGTATACCTGAGGTTGAGGGCAGGTAGGAGGAAGGCAGGTGGAGGTTTCATTTTCCTATTGGTTATTTTGGAAACAAAACAAATTCAGGGGCCGGTGCTGTGGCATAAAGGGTAGAGCCGCCACCTGCAGTGCCAGCATCCCCTATGGGGGCCAGTCCAAGTCCCAGCTACTCCTCTTCTGATCCAGCTCTCTGCTATGGCCTGGGAAAGCAGTAGAAGATGGCCTAAGTCCTAGGGCCCCTGCACGTATGTGGGAGACCCAGAAGAAGCTCCTGGCTCCTGGCTTTGGATTGGCCCAGCTCCAGCTGCTATTGCAGCCATTTAGGGAATGAACCGGTGGATGGAAGACCTCTATGTCTCTGCCTCTGCCTCTCTGTAACTCTGCCTTTCAAATAAATAAATAAATAAATCTTTGAAAAAAAATTCAGTGGGAGCAGTTTGAACAAAAAATCCAGGGTTATCTGCAATTAGGAAAGAAGGTGTGGGTTACTGTCCTGAACCTCAGGAGCTACATGACTTTGAATATCGCTCTTTCTGAAATGTTGAGATGACAGAGCATAGTCTCCACCTCACATCATGCTCCTGAGCACACAACAGGAGGTACGTGAAAGCATGGCTCAACTGTACGTTCCAGAACAACGTGTTTTCCAATCTCAAATCTCGACTGCAGCCCCACCACATTCCCATGTGCAACTGGCTCAGAGCAGACCTGGAGCAGGCACCCAGGACAATCAAAGGATCTACAGGGACCGGAGAGGGCTTCGAGTCCGTGTTCACTGTGTCTCTTGGGGAAACACAACATAGAAAGGGCAGCTAAAGGTCCTTGTCACTGCAGAGAACTGTGCGGAGAAATGAGTGCCTCCATCAGCTAGATGAAATCCCAAACTATGGAGAAAAGCTTTGCATAAAATCCCACCTAACAATACCCAAATTTTCTCATATAGATGGCAAGAAGAAATCATAGCTTCTGTCTACCTGACTTGATGGCCCCCAAGAAAATGGACAAGAGCCAAGACATGCATAGGTTATCAACCCACATATCCATAGATTCGCCCAGGAAACCAAGGTAAGATGAGGGGGAGGGGAGCCAGTCTCCTTGACCCAAAATCTGTCTTCATTGTATTCAACGTGTGTCATTAGCAGCCTTATTTCAGTGGAGTCAGAAGTCAGTTCTTTGGACTAAGATAAAAAACATTTCACAAACAAATCCAAAGTTTCGGATTAGCTTCTGTTCTGTAAGATGTTTTTACATCGCTGTGAGTTGCCCTTTAAATGACTGCCTTAGAACTAGAAAAAAGGAACAACCCTCATCCTCTTTCTCCCCACTGTTGAACTGACTCAAAAGTGATCCATTGAGGAAATTTCCCCAAAGTGATAAACTTTACAAAACAAATCTATAAAAATAAGGAAAACTCCAGTAGTGGCCATGGATTACGGGCTCCTCTGGCCATGTGATGTCCGTGAAGGGAAGCAGGCTCCACCTGTCATGTCACCCATCAGAAGCTGGGGAGACCCATTTCCCCAACATCAGTGACACACTTTCTGTTCAAATACATTTTCCTCTTTCTGAAAACGATCAGGAAAATCAGACTTTGCTTTTTCTCTGAAAGTGAAGGTGAAAGGAAAAGAAAATTACAGGAAACATGTAAAAGAGGTGACAGCTCACTGGGAAAGGGAAGCCAAAAGAAACAGAAGAACAGTAAAACACCAGGTCTAGCAAAAGAAAAGTGGGCCGGCATGCTGGATACTGAGGCTTACTTCAAGTCATAGATTCCACCCGAAATCAACTGCTGTCAACTGCTATCACCAAGCAGAACGTTGTTCTGCTCTTTCCAGCACCTTGCAGACCGACTGAAATGATCATTTTCCTGACAGTCCTGAAAACTGCTGATCTGCTGAGACACGGACACACCCAAAGCATATACTGACCACGTGCATATGTGCAGACCTGCTTTCAAGGCATAAAAGCTAAATGTATCTCTTTTAAATGGGTATACTTTTAAAGTTTCAAGGAAATTCATAAATATACAAAGCTGTAATACATGAATACTTCACGTATGTTGTAGATCTAGAAATCTCTACATAATTTTAATAAACTAATAATGTAAAAGTTACACTCAGATTTCTAAATATCCATCCTTTCCTTGTGCAGGAAAGTGAATTACTGTATACTGACTTACAGCATCTTGTTTGTCCCCTCAGTGATGTGCAAGTAGAAGAGTTAACGTGAACAAGCTGAACACAACTCAAGACATCATTTATAGGAGAGCTCTCACAGTAAGTTGAGGGAATGTGGGAGACCCAGGCCCTTCATGGGTACAGATTCGGGTGGTCCAGGACCAATCATTTAGAGCTTTTGTGACTCATAATTTCTTTATCACCAAGTAACAGGAAGATATCAATGACTGGGGATTAAGAGGGAAGCTGACTCTTAAGGCATCCTTTAAGCCTGAACTTTAAGGGTATGACAAAAATACAATTAATTTGGAGAAGCTTTGTATCAGGCAGGCCCAAGGAGAACCCCAATGATCCTGCCCACTGGTCCCCAAGCCTTTGTGCAATTTCTCCCCAAAGGCTGGACCCATTCATTCAACAATGCTGACCCTAGGTTCAAAAAGACCAGGACTTCCATCTTTCTCTCCCTTTCCCCTCTTTATCTTCCTATCTTTCCTGAAGGAAGCCATATTGTACATGGTGCCTTGCGCCACTCAAGTGCAGGAACTGAGAGACCTCCCGCTAACAGCCAGCCAAGAATTGAGGCTCCCACCCCAACAGTGCACAGGGCTTAACTGAACACTGACGGCAGGTAAGCTGGGTAGCAGCCACTGGAGCACTTCTGAACTCCCCCACTCTCACGTCTTTCCAGGCACGACTACTCTCCACTAACAAGGCAGTCATGGACAGCAGGAATAAGTCTTCAGACACGGACTTCATCCTCCTGGGCCTCTTTCCTGGCATGAACCACGTCACCCTCCTTGTCTCTGCCATCCTCCTGATCTACACGGTGGCTCTCACTGCAAACTCTGCACTAATTCTTCTGATCTGGGTGGACTCTCACCTCCACACACCCATGTACTTCCTGCTCAGCCAGCTGGCTCTCATGGACCTGACCCTAATCTCTAGCACCGTGCCCAAGATGGCAGCCGACTTCTTCTTAGGGCAGAGAAACATCTCACGGGTGGCCTGTGCAGCTCAGATCTTTTTCTTTCTGACTCTAGGCATTGCTGAGTGTATCCTCATCACCTTCATGTCCTATGACCGGTACGTGGCCATCTGCAACCCTCTGAGATATGCCCTCCTCATGAGCCAGAGGGTCTGCCTGCAGATGGCTGCCGTCTCCTGGGCTGGGGGTGCCTTTTTATCACTGGCACACACTGCCTACGCCATGCACTTCCCAATCTGTGGTTCCACAGAGATTTCTCATTTCCTTTGTGAGGTCATGGCCATCCTCAAGCTGGCCTGTGAGGACATCTCTGCCTACGAGAAGGCTGTGGTGGCGACCAGCATTGTGGTGCTCCTCATTCCCCTGTCCCTCATCTTGACTTCATACGTGCTCATCTTCCTTGCTGTTCTCCGCATGAACTCCCCTGAGGGCAGAAATAAAGCCCTGGCTACCTGTTCCTCTCACCTGGCTGTGGTGAGCCTCTACTTTGGCCCGGCCATGCTGGTCTACATGAGGCCAAGCTCCTACCACAGCCCCAAGCTGGACCAGGTCCTCTTCTTGCTTGGTGCCATCCTCACCCCCATGATGAACCCCCTCATCTACAGTCTGAGGAATAAGGAGGTGGTGGGGGCTCTGAAAAAGGTGCTGGGATGCTGTCCAACCTCACTCTAGACCACAAACATACGGCAAACCTTAGCCATGAGCTCTGTTTCAGCTCAGTCAGCCCTGCTGGACATCGAGGCCTCTGGTCATGAGGTTGAAACTGCAATGGCACCACTGGCTCCATGGATTCAGGACACACAGACGTAAAACTGGTGGAATGTACTGTGGCCATTCAGCCCGAGTATGCTAGGTTCACACTCTGGGACTATGATCCTCAAGGAGTGGGCATTCCAGAGTTGATGATGATGGTGACAGTAGTGGTGGTGGTGCCAAAGGCATTGCTGTGGGTTTGAGGGGAGTCACTGTGGGAGGAGTAGTGATGGTGATGAGGTTTTGCCAAGAAAAGGATGTGAATCAGCGATGCTTTATTCAAGGAGATATGAATCAAGTCTGGTCGAGAAAGGTCAACCACGACAGAAAGTCCAGAAATGTTCGTTTCCAAACTATCCTAAAGTGAAGGTGAAAGCTTAAGAGTGTAAAATGAAGGGGCTTTATTAGATGACATCTACGGCATTTCTAAACCTACCCAAAAAACTCATTTTATTTTTAAATACCATGCTGCCTCTTAAATTATTTTGTGTAATTGTCCTTGTTACCAAAAAAGAATATAAAGACCTTTTAAGTTTCTTCAGTTTTAAGAATGCAAAATTATATCAGGCTTGATGGAAATGGAAAGTTATATGCAGATTTACTACTAGTAGATTGCATCTGAGTTTTTTTTGTTTTGTTTTGTTTTTACATTTCTATCACCTCTCTGCCATGTAGTGAATTAACATTCACATTTCAGGAAAGGATAATAAGGTGAATGTGGCTGAATCTACACGTGTAGAAATATTACCATTCCAACACCTGGCAGTGTGAGCATAGACTGGAACTGAATTTAACAGTTCACTGCCGCACCCACCACTAGTTGACTTGGTTGAGTGACCGAATTAGAGAATGGAAAGCTATTTATATGTCATTAGAAATCCAGAAGATTCGCTGAGGAACATGGCTTGCTAAGAATATAACAAAGGACTGAGAATTAGAAAGAATACCCTTAAGTCATCCTGAAATTCCTCTCCAAGAGATGATTGTATTTAAATTCAAAATATGTTGGGCATGGTGGGGGGGGGTATGTGAAAGAAATATTTTGATCTAAAAATTAATATGTAACAAGCAAAAATTTCTAGGACATTCTTCACATAAGAGATTACTGTAAATTATCCATGCAAAGGAGAAATGAATGTGCCATAAATGGCATATGGCAGGTAGGGCTGGGGGAGGAGTATAAACCAGGGTTCTTTCTGATAGTGGTTGGGTATATAAAAACAAGAACATTTGCTCTACCCCTTAGCATGCACGCAGGTATCAGCCATCATTTCCATTTCTGACAATAAACCTGAGTTCCTTGCACTAAATTAAAGAAAAAAGGGGATAGTTTATATAAAGTCTGACCTGTCGGATTAAAAGCATGCTTAAAGACCCAGGCTAGCACTGTCTCAGGGAAGTGATGCCATGGTGTGTGCAAGGCCATGATGATGTTGATTACGTCTCATTAACCACCTGCAGCACTTTGTCCCATCCCATCAACCCACATGCAGGTGCAGCAAAGCAGGGGGTGGATTCCACTGGAACGGGATTCACCCGGAAAAAGGAAGAAGAGCCACGTGTCTGACTCGCTTCTGAAGTCTGTTGGCTTCACACAAACAAAATTTTATATATGCCCTCTTCTGCAAAGCAAGGACAAAATAAGGATTTGATGTATGTACTTGTTTTTAAGAAAATAAAAGAGAAAAGAAAATCACCAGGCAAAGATCTCTTGTCACCAGGGTCTTGGTGGAAAGGAGGCGCAATCAACTAAGTTGGCAGTGAAGACAAGGCAGTCCCAGAAGCCCGGAAGAGCCTACTGCCCAGCCAAAATCTCCACAGCCAGCAGTTACAGGGGAGGAAGCAGCGGTTCCCGATATAATTGGAAATCTTTCTTTAGAAATGTCTCACGAAGGGGCTGGGCTGTGGCGTGGCAAGTAAAACCGCTGCTTGTGGTGCTGGTATCCCATATGGGAACCAGTTCCAGTCCCATCTGTTCTACTTCCCATCCAGCTCCTGCTAATGGCCTGGGAAAAGCAGCAGAAGATGGCCCAAGGGTTTGGGTCCCTGCCACCCATGTGGAAGGCCTGGAACCCTGGCTTTGGATTGGCCCAGCTCCAGCTGTTGTGTCCATTTGGGGAAAGAACCAGCAGAAAGAAGATTCTCTCTCTCTCTCTGTCTATCCCTCACTCCCTCCTTCACTCTCTCCCTCTCTCTCCATTACTCTGCCTTTCAAATAAATAAATATATCTTTTTAAAAAGGAGGTACACAAATGCATGAAGACTCGTTACTGCCCAGAGTATCCTAGGTCCAGAGGTCTCAGTATCGCCCTGAGATTTTCAACTCTCTTAAAAAGAAGAAAGAAAAGAAAAAGAACTGTTTGATGAGAGAAGATAGTTATTTTGTGCAACTTCATTACCTAAAGTCCTAAAAAGAAGTGAGATGCTTCAAAATATAGGAAACATCAAACAAAAACCTGCCACTTCACCCCACATACACATATGCACACCCATGTAAAAAGCAGCACACGACTGTAAATGTAAAATAGGATAAATCATATAGGACTTCTAAGATGGCCAAATAGAGAGAACCAGCATTCCACTTCTCCCCTCCTCCTACAGAGAGAAGCAAACAACAAGGAAATGGCATACTTTGAGGTCAGTATCCCAGGGTGGCCCTGGAGCCCAGCAGAGACACATGGACATCTCTAGGGCGGGGAGAACTGGGGTGGCAGTGGAGAGAAAAACACAGCACACCAGCAGCCACGGCCCTGGCCCCGTGACAGGGGAAGGGGCACCGGGGAGGTCCCTCACAGGCGCCGTCTGCGGACACTGGCAATGCCACCTCAAAGGGATCCACGGGCACCGCAGGTTTGCAGCCCAGCAAGGGGGGGTGGGGGCACCTGGAGCGCTCCCGGCAGCTGTGCTCAGAGAAGGAACGCACACCTTCTTGTCAACCCCCCCAGAGCGCGGGCCCCGGTCAGTAGGGGACAGAGGGCCTGCGTATCCCATCTGCGGGACCCGAAGGTATTCCACTACATCAGGAAGAACCACTCCGGCCTCACAAAGCCGAGTAAACGGAGCAGTGCGGCCGCGATCCCAGAGCCCTGCCTGAGACAGGCGGCGGGGGGCTGGCACAGCGCGGGACTGCGGCTCCCCGGACCCAGGAACTCGGAGCCCGTCCCCGTACTGCTCTCCCTCTCCTGCTGCCCCGAGCAGCCTGTACCAACACGGCCCCCACACCCGGGCCAGCCATGCGCGGGCAGGTGCTCCCGCACACCACGGCTGCGGCCTGCTGGTGAGGGCGCGCGTGACCCGTCCGTCACTGATGCCACCACCACCAGCCCTTGGGCGGGGCCGGGACCCCACGCCCTTGCCAGGGCTGCCATCGGCTACACAAGGACAAAACGCCGAGACTACGGCGAGATGTCCAGCTGGAACCCAAGCACAGCGGCCTAGCAGACTCGCCCACGACACACCATCTAGGAAAGCCGCGCTCTGCAGGGACGGAGACGGGGCTCTGCCACCCTCGTCAACGCGGGGACAAGGCCGCGGGGCGTCCCCCAGGAGCGGGGTGACCTGGCCAAGCGCGAGAAAGGGGAGCCCACGACCCCCGAGTACACGAAAGCAGGACGTGGGCGCCGCGTGGCGCGAAGGCGCCCACCGGGTGGCGGGGCGCTCCCGAGGCGCCTGCACTGGGACGACGCGGGGGCTCGGCGGGCGCGGGGACGCGACTGCGCAGGCGCCAGAGGCCGGCCCGGCGGAAGCGAGGGCGCCACGCGCACTTCCTGCGGCGCAACCGTCGGCCTGCGGAGCGGCGCCGGGCGGGAGCGGCTCTCGAGGTGAAGGCCCGCGCCGCGGCCCGCACCCTCCCGGCCCCCTCGCGCCCGAGTGCCCCCGCCACACCGGCCTCGGGGCCCGCGGGGCTCGGGCGCGCCTCGGGCTAAGCGTGCCTGCTGGCTGGTTGGTTTGGACGGAGGCCTTGCTCTGCGGCAGGCCGTCTGCGGGGCCCGGCGCGCCTTTCCCGTGCCTGCCTTCGCTCACCTGACTCTTCTTTTCCAGTTACCTGTGACCCGGGAGTGAAGCCCCGGCCAGCCTCCGCCGCGAGATGGCAGCGTCCGCGGACAAGGCCCTGCCGCTGCGGCTGCCCGAGCTGTTCGAGGCCGGCAGGCGGCTGCTGGAGCAGGCGGAGGCCGCGGCCGAGCCCAGCGGTTCCCAGGCGGTCCAGGACGCCGTGGCCGAGGGCTTGGAGCTCCTGGGGAAGGCCGCCGACATGCTGTCGCTGCTCGACCTGTTCAGCCGAAACGAGGACGTGGAAGACATCGCCTCCGCCGACCTCAAGTACCTGCTGCTGCCGGCGCTGCAGGGCGCGCTCACCGTGAAGCAGGTGCGCCCCGGCGAGCGTCTGGCCCACCTGCAGCAGGCGCGGGAACACTTCCTAAACTACCTCACGCAGTGCCGGCACTACCGGCTGGCCGAGTTCCCGCTTCCTGGAACCCGCGCCGGCGCAGCCCAACGCAGTGCCGCTGCGCCCGCCGCAGCCCGGCCTGGCCTCGAGGCCATGGCGTCGCAACGCGAGGCTAAGATAGAGAGGTACAGGCAGAGGAAGGAGGCGGAGAGCAGGCTGGCCGCGCTGAAACGCGCTGTGGAAAGCGGGCAGGCAGCGGACGAGCGTGTCCGTGAGTACCACCTCCTCCACCTCCGGAGGTGGGCGGGTATCAGCTTGGATGAGATTGAGAGCATTGACCAGGAGATGGAGATTCTGCGAGAAAAAGACTCCGCAGGAGAGGCGGCGGCGCCTCCCGCATCTCGCCAGGAGAGGCCTCCAGTGAAGCCCTTCATTCTCACTCGCAATGTGACCCAAGCTAAAGTGTTCGGAGCCGGTTATCCGAGTCTGGCAACCATGACCGTGAATGACTGGTACGAGCAGCATCAGAAATTTGGAGCGTTGCCAGATCAAGGAATAGCCAAGGAGACGCCAGAGCCCTCTGACACCGAGAGCTGACTGAAACACTTCAGAACCTGCAATACAGGTGCCGTTCAGCTTACAGTGAGCTTACATCCAGATAAACCCACTGTAAGTTGACAGTATCCTAGAGCAGCAAGATACAGGAAGACAGGAGGAGGAGCATGGTGAGAACACCACAGAGCAAGGGGTGGGGGGTGACTGGAAAGGCACCCAGGCTAGGGGCTGTGGCAACTGACAGGTTGCTTCCCAAAACTGACGGGACTGCAGAACACACCAGCCCCACCAAGGAGAACCATGCAGTCCCCTCCCTGGGCTGCTGCCTCAGCTCTGTGAAACAAAGGTAAAGGCTGTAATCTTGCTTTGCATTTAATAAAGTGTCATTGTGCAGTTGTGTCCTAGATGGTGAGCCAACAGTCTTGTTTTTGGTGTTATGGTGTATTCCAGTTTATCACGGGGAAAGAAACAAGTACTGAAAAGGTAAAATTATATAATTTTTATATAATTATTTATATATGAGAAATCTATTCTAAAAATTACTTAATAAATTGCTGTGTGATTTCTCTTTGAAAAATAATAAGCATCCATTCTACTGCAAAAAAGTAGGAAAATAACTCATAATGTGAATGAGAAATTCAGCACAGAGACTGAAATCTTGAGAAAGAACCAAACAAATCTGGATTTCAGAAAGTCAGATTTTAAAAGTCCAGTTGAAAACTTCCAGGACGCTAAACCACACAGAAGGACTGAGCTTGAAGCCAGATCTTTTAAAATATCCCAGTCAGGGGCTGGTGTGGTGGTGCACAGGGTTAAGCTGACACCTGTCACGCAGGCATTTCCTATTGATGTTGGCAGTGAATTAAGTTTTAGTTCAGGTTCTTTTCTTCTGCAGATGTAGAAATACTAAGCAGAGACTGGTATTGCATGTAAACAGAAAATGAGAAAGTGGAGAAATAAGCTTTCATTCACAAGTGAGTGTGGGCTGCTCTACACAGAAATACGCGAAGTGAATGGGCCAAAGAGTTGCTGATAAGTGGGAGGAAAACTGAAAATGTTACCAGTGGTTGGGAAGGTCTGTCTGAGGGCAGGAGAGTGAAAAAGGTACATTGGAGAGGGGCCAGCACTGTGGCGTAGTGGGTAAAGCCACCGCCTGCAGTGCCGGTATCCCGTATGGGTGCCGATTCAAGTCCTGGCTGCTCCAGTTTGGATCCAGCTCTCAGCTATGGCTTGGGAAAGCAGTGGAAGATGGCCCAAATCCTTGGGCCCTTGCAACCACGTGGGAGACCTGGAAGAAGCTCCAGGCTCCTGCCTTCGGGTCAGCATGGGTCTGGCTGTTGCGGCCATCTGGGGAATGAACCAGTGGGTGGAAGACCTCTCTTTGCCTCTGCCTCTCCTTCTCTGTCTGTGAAACTCTGACTTTCAAATAAATAACCTTTTTTAAAAATTTTTTTTTGCCAGGCAGAGTTTGAGAGAGAGAGAGACAGAGAGAAAGGTCTTCCTTCCATTGGTTCACTCCCCTAATGGCCGCCAGAGCTGGCACTGCGCCGATCCGAAGCTAGAAGCCAGGTGCTTCCTCCTGGTCTCCCATGCGGATGCAGGGACACAAACACTTGTGCCATCCTCCACTGTACTCCCAGGCCGCAGAAGAGAGCTGGACTGGAAGAGGAGCAACCGGGACTAGAACCCCGGGGTGCCGGAGCCACAGGCGGAGGATTAGCCAAGTGGACCATGGCGCTGGCCCTCAAATAATCTTTAAAAAGAAAAAAAAAGGTACATTGGAGAACCAAAAAGGCACAGAACCGCAGTACCTCTAAGCAAGATCCAAGATAGAAAGGGCACACTCTTGCCTTCCACCTCCTCATCATCTCATTAATCCAGGTCCCAGATGTAACAGATACATCATGAAAAGGTGAGAAAGTGGGAGGCTTGTGACTTCTGGGTCCACAGACAACTGCCTGCCTGCTTACAGTATATCATTGTGAGTGCCAGTTTGAGTCCTGGCTGTACCACTTCAGATCCAGCTCCCTGCTAAAGCACCTGGGGAAGCAGAAGATGGCCCAAGTGCTTGGGCCCCTGCAACTACGTAGGAGACCCAAAAGAAGCTCCTGTCTTCTGGAATCAGCCCAGTCCCAACCGTTGTAGCCATTTGGGGAGTGAACCAATGGATAGAAGATCTCTTTCAAGTAAGTAAAAATCTTTTTTTAAAGATTTTATTCGAAAGGCAGACTTACAGACAAAAGGAGAGGCAGAAAGGTCTTCCATCCAATGGTTCACTCCGCAAGTGGCCGCAAAAGCTGGAGCTGGGCCGATCCGAAGCCAGGAGCCAGGAGCTTCTTCCAGGTCTCCCAAACGGGCGCAGGGGCTCAAGCACTTGGGCCATCCTCTACTGTTTTCCAGGCCATAGGCAGAAAGCTGGATCAGAAGAGAAGCAGCAGGGCCACAAACCAGCACCCATGTGGGATGCCAGCACTACAGGGGGAGGCTTAGTTTACTATGCCACAGCATTGGCCACAGCAAAAACCTTTTTTTAAAAAGGGGATGGCCAGTGCCGCGGCTCACTAGGCTAATCCTCTGCCTTGCGGCACCGGCACACCGAGTTCTAGTCCCGGTCAGGGCACCGGATTATGTCCCGGTTGCCCCTCTCCCAGTCCAGCCCTCTGCTATGGCCCGGGAGGGCAGTGGAGGATGGCCCAAGTGCTTGGGCCCTGCACCCGCGTGGGAGACCAGGAGAAGCACCTGGCTTCTGGCTTCAGATCAGTGTGATGTGCCGCAGTGCGCTGGCCACGGTGGCCATTGGAGGGTGAACCAACGGCAAAAAGGAAGACCTTTCTCTCTCTCTCTCTCTCTCACTGTCCACTCTGTCAAAAATTTAAAAAAAAAATTAAAAAGGGGGGGGAATAATAGTTTCTGGGGTCTTCAGGGTACCATTAAATGAGCAAATGTTCACATTTGGGGACACAGAAGGCTAAGGGGACAGGCACAGAAAACCCATTCACTGTAAGAACAGCTTGGAACTTTCCCGGCCTTGGAGCAGGGGTGTGTATCTAGGGTCAGGCACAGTTATTGGAAGAATCGCTAGAAACTTGCTCAACCTTGGAGCAGGTGTGTACAAGCAGGGCAGGAGAGATGTGGGGCCTCAAACAGAAAGACCAGATGAAAATCTAAACCATGCCATGTTACAAACTTCAAGAGCGCAAGACAATTCTAAAAGTGCCGAATCACATTTAGGTGAGCCATCCCTGGACTGAGGGCAGATTGCTCAGCAGAAACCTTGCAGACCAGGAGCAAATGCAATTACGTATTCCAAGATCTGCAAACCAAGAATATGAAATCCAGCAAGAATATCCTTCGTTTCTGAAGGAGAAATAATTTCTAAGACAAACAAAAACTGAATTCATCACCACCAAGCTGGCCTCACAAAAAAAGTGTTTAAGGGGCTGACACCGTGGCACAGAGGTTAAGGTGCTGCTCGAGACACTGGCACCCCATACCGGACCGCTAATTCAAGTCCCAGCTTCTCACTTCTGTTTCAGCTCTCTGCTGATGTGCCTGGGAAAGCAGTAGATAATGGCCCAATACTTGGACCCCTGCAGTCCACGTGGGAGACCCAGATGGAGTTCCAGGGTCCTGGCTTCAGACTGTCCCAGGCCTGGCTGTTGTGGCCATTTGAAGAGTGAACCAGCAAATAAGGCAGACACAGAAAGGTCTCACATGTTCTCCCTCCTAAGTAGAAGCTGAAAAGTCAGTCTGAACATAGAGTAGTGATTGCCAAGGCTAGGAAGGGTAGGTGGGGAGGGAGGCATTAGGGGCTTGGATAACAGCTACCAAAACACAAATAGAAGAAATACGTCAGTGTCCAAGGCACAGTGGGGTGACCGCAGTTCACCATAATCTAGTATATATGTTATGATTAACTAGAAGAGAGGGCCTGGAAGGCTTCAAACACAGAACACATAAGGAGATAGAAATGGTAATGACCCATATTTGATCAGTACACAATGTTTATATGTGTTGAATGTTGAAATATCACACTGTACCCCATAAGTATACAATTCTTACATGTTAATCCAAATTTTTAAAGGTTTTTTATGCATCTAAAATAAATAGAGTGGAAGGGAATCTACACAATGGGGGAAAATATCTGCAATTCCTTTAATAAGAGGTTAATAGAATATATAAAGAATGCCTACAACTTAACAACAAATAATTTTAAAATGGGCAAAGGACTGAATAGACATTTCTCTAAAGGAGATGTAAAAATGGCCAATGAGCATAAGAAAAATATCACTAATGAACAGCCAATTGTCAATCAAAACCTCAAGGACAACGTCTCATACCTATTAGGATGGCCACTGCCTACAGAAGAGAAAATAACAAGTGCTGGTGAGCGTGTGCAGAAGCCAGAGCCCTGCAGGTGGGAACGGAAAGTGGTGTGGACGCTGTGGGGAACCATGGAGGCTCCTCAAAAACTTTAAAATAGAACTGAGATAGAAAGATGCAGTCGTCTCCTACTGGGGACAGGTGCAGAGAACTGAAAGCTGGGTGTGGACGGGAGATTTTCCCATGTGTGTTCACGGCAACATATTTACATCAGCCACCAGGTGTCCCTCGACAGGTGAATGCACTAAGAAAATGCATCATATACCACACAGATGGTTTAGCCTGTAAAAGAACAGAACCCTGCCATGTGCCACACATGGCTGAATCTCGAGGGCATTACCCTAGGTGAAATAAGGTAGGATTCCACGCACGTGCGGTGTCTGAAGACTCAGTCTCACAGAAGCAGAGCAGGATGGGGCTGCCAGTGTTGGGGAAAGGGGAAAATGGGGTATTGTTCACAGTTTGTTTTACGAGATTTGGGGCAGACCTCACTAAGCTGCCTCCAGAAAGGGACAGAGTTACACTCCCTCGGGTACTACGGGAGTCTGCCGGCTTCCCGGCCCCACAATGCCACTGATGATCTGTGACAAACGCATCTGATGAAAAACGGGTATCCAGGACTGCTTGTGACGTCACAGTTATTGCTCCAGGGTCTCACCCTGTCCATTCTTCAACATTTGACTTTTTATATAGCACTGCACTTTTTTATGCCATCTATGTGTTTATGAGGTCTTTTCACTTTGGGTATCACAAATGTGATTTAGAGTATATTTTCCCAATGTCTTTGCATTTTAATTTTGTTAATGAAAATAAATCTCACAGCATTTTAAAAACTGCTGATTTCCATCTACTTGAAAGGCAGAGAGAGAGAATGAATATCTTCTATCACTGAATACCTCTCCAAATGCCCACACAGCCAGGGCAGGGTCAGGCCCAAGCCATGAGCCCAGAGCTCCATCCAGGTCTCCCATGTGGGTGGCAGAAGCCCAAACACTAAGCCATCATCTGCTTCCAGATAACA